GACGTTTCAAACTCGTTCTTGAGCACATCATTGGAGATAGGGAAAATGGGAAGTGCATCGTTTAAATAAGCCTTTTCTTATTTACTCCTGATAGATCCATCACGGTCTGCTCCCATCGGTCCATTTTTCTCACCTAGGTGGTGTTTTACAGCCTCATATAGCGCTTGTAGATCTATCCTTATATTGATCGAGTTGGCATTTGAGTGCCAGGCTTCGATAACCTCCCTCGCAATTTTGTTCACTGCCCGGGCGATGACTTTTGCGTTGTCGAACCCGAACCGGTGGTCATTTTCAAAGCTGTGCACGGCGACATGTGAAAGGCCATCTTCTCGGCTAACTGCTAAGCTGTGCTCGTGCATGCGTGATTTTAGCCGTTTGACCGTCATTCCACAATAATTAGCCGAAAGACTTAGGCAGTTCACTCGATAGACGATTCCCGTCATCTCCACAGGGTGTAGCCGCCGTTTGGGCAGCACTGTTAAGCGCCGGATTGTGGCCTCTGGCCTCTGGCCAATATTTGCAGAAGGACGTTGCCGACAAATACATCTGACACTAGAATGGCTATTTCTCGTTCATTTGCCGTCGTCAGCTAGAAATCCCAATCCCGCTATGGCCACATGCGGGTTTCGAACCCACGTCTCTACGTTCAGAGGCGAACGACTTAAAAATTAAGCTACTAGCTCGCAGGCCTGTCGCTATTAGCTCGGGGATATACAGTAAAAGGTATGCGTACACCGATCTGTTGGAGAACCCGCAAGACTGCGAGCTCGTAGATCAATGGTTAAGGCGTTCGCCTGTGACTGGAGAGACGCAAGTTGGAAGCTCGATTGTGCCATCGTATTCAGCAGCAACATTGAGGTTGGGAATCACTACCTGATGACGGCAAATAAGCCAGAAATGGTCATTGCAGTCAATACAAGCGAAAATCCGTGTCCCAGGAAGCAATTGAGAAGAAGAAGACTCGATAATTAAAGTGTCCCATGTCTTTGTGGGTAATGTCGTTCTACATATACAGAGAAGTCGCTAAAGTATGTGCCACTGTCGTGATGATTGGAAACTTAAGCATATCCTTCTTTACACTATTTTGGTTAATTCAGTTGATTTGATTTTGCGAAAGCCTTTATTTACGAAAATCACCATTTTATGTAGGTTTATTAAGAGTAATGACCATTAATTTTAGCGAAATTGGGAGTAGTCTCAAATCAAAGGAAGTTATTACTTTTTCTACGAAGGACAGGACCAACCTGCTTATTAATGTCGATTATACTATGGATGAACTTTAAAATAAGTCAAATAGGTTTAGAAAATATCCCTTCCAGGACTGGCAAATTTTGAAGAAAATTGCTCAGACTCAAGTGAATCCAAATTGAAGGTATAGCATTTATTTGCATTAAAATTTAAGATTTATGTTTAAAAAATTATTTTCAGCTATCCTATGAAGTTTCTTTGCACAAAATGCAGTAACATGAAAGTTTTGGTCGGAAATGTTGTTCAACCGTACCGTTTAACTGACGCATAAGCAAAGTCGCGCATGTGTTATCGCAAAAGTAATGTAAGAACGGCCTTATTGACTATAAGTCATGAAAAATATAGGTTACCGTAAACTATACGTTCTGCTTTTGCGTAATTTGAAAGCGGAAGACTCAGAAGAATATCAAGAATTTCAAAATATGGCCATATTTTTGTTTTTGCAAGCTTAAAACTAATCGTCGAATTAATTCACTTATGCGAAAAATAATCTATTATAAAGAGAAAAGTAAGTTTTTTTCATGTCCAGTCAGACTGAATTGTATATCTTCAGAATAATTAAACACATTGTTAATAATCTGCAATTTCATTGCGACAGAACCTTGGAACAACTTTATATACACAGAACTTCGTCAGCAGAAAATCTAATTAAAACACTTTTTAAAGAGATAACCTTTTTTATTAATATTGGAAATAACAATATCACAATGCTGTTGCGGACATTATTTATTCTCGACAATGTGATTTGCTGTTTGTAGGCATTCCTAATATGAGCAACATGGGCATCTTCATAAAAACTAACATCCAAAAACCCATTTTCTTCGGTAAATGCTCTTGTTACACATCTTATTTTAGAGGATTTTGTGTAAATGTCGAAAAGAAACACAACTTATCAACTTGACAATATATATGAAGAAAAGAAGGGGTTCTTCTCAAAAATCACGAATCACATGTGAATTTTCGAGCTCGTGACATCAGGTTAAAAGATCAAGGCAGTAAGACCATGTCTATTGTAATCATCCTTCTTTTCGTTTTATTTCAACTCATGAAGAGAGCGTGTCACGATTTTGAAACTTCACGAATACACCTTGATTTTTCTGAAGAACCACTCCTTTCCCTTCATTTTATCGCTTGGAATGTATGCGCCCTCTGATATGCAATAAATATATGCTCCCAATTTGATTTGCGATTTTATCTTGATTTTAAGGTATTATGGGTGGGGAGTGATGATACTTGTCAATGGAATTCTTTTCTTGGTTGGTGCTGTAATCCTCGGGGCTGTCGCATTGTGGTACAAGCCCGCACCTAAACCTCCCAAACCTGCAACATTACCCGGTCCGAATGAACCCGGTTCGAATGAATGCGGTTCGATTGAACGCGGTTTGCATGAACCTGGTTCCAATGCACCTGGTCCAACGCTATCAACGGTGGGCAAATAATAAATAAGCAATTTTATTTATATATGCATAGAAAGATGTAGTTACTATTTATTGTACAAATAGCGTATGATATTTTTGTAAATCTAACGCAACATTTTTTTAATTTAGCCTGGCGCGCCACCACCATTTGAAGTAACCGGTTCGAATGAACCCGGTTCAAATGTACCTGGTCCAACACTGTCAACGGTGGGCGAATAATAATTAAGCAATGTTATTTATATATGCATAAAAAGATGTAGTTACTTCTCTTTGCACAAATAGTTAAAAAACATTTTGTAAATCTAACGCATCATTTTTTTAAATTAAGGCTGGTCCGCCACCACCATATGCAGTACCCGGTTCGAATGAATCCGGTTCAAATGTACCAGGTCCGACGCTATCAATGGTGGGCGAATAATAATTAAGCAATGTTATTTATATATGCTTAAAAAGATGTAGATTCTTCTTATTGAAGAAATAGCATATAAAACTTTTGTAAATCTAACGCAACATTTTTTAAATTTAGGCTGGCCCGCCACCACCCTATGAAGTACCCGGTTCGAATGAACACGGTTCGAATGAGCCCGTTTTGAATGAACGCGGTTCGAATGAACCCGGTTCGAATGAACTCGGTTCAAATATACCCGGTTCGAATGAACTTCACGCAACGCCGTCAACGGTATGCATAAAAGGATGCAATAGCTTATTGTTGTATAAGTAGCGGATCATATTTTTTCTTCTTATAACGCAGCATGTTTTCAACATTTAGGTTAATCCGCCACCACCCTACGTGGAGTAAATCAAATCAAATTCGGGCATTTGCAACCCTTGAACACAGCGACATCACAATCTTCAACAACAGCGCCATTGATCCTCACGCGTACCTAGCCTCCTCTAATGGGCCCCTCCCCCTGTTTTGACTACCTACTTGCATGGAACGACGAACATCTTCTAACCTGCACTACGTAGGCATATTACTATATTGGACCGATTATATCTTATCGTGGTCTTACTTACGCTCGCAACCTAGCCTCATCAGTTATTGTATTTACCTGATAAAGAATGATCGAAAACATTCGTTGGCTTTACTTTATTCCATAAATTCGTACATGGGTTCTATGGCTGAACATTACAAATCCACGGATTCGTCAGTTTTTAATGGACTTAATGAGCACATTCACTCAAACACCCCCTGGCGCAAAGTTAGGTTAACTGTATGCTCCAACTGTTGATATAGGTCGGGCAGCCCATATAAGGCGGTCAAAACCAGATTTTAATTTCATCACATACCGCACATCTAAACTTAAATATCGAGTCGTAGATTGGAGTCCGTTTTGCTTGAATACCTTAAAATATCTTCCGAGAATTGACTTAAAGGGTATCGATATCAACGGGCTCAATCGCAAACTGAACCAACGCATAGAAATTTAAAATGCATTAGCCGAGGTAGAACAAATGCACACTAGCAACTGAATTAAAATCGTAAACCAAGGACGTATTTAGGTGATATTGATAGAGCTTCTTCAAAATATCAACTCAGCAGAGGATCAGGCATTTTTTTTTCAAAATGCTCCGGAGCGATACATAGAACATATCATTAACTTGACCTTTAAAATCATCGGTCTCAAATGACCACACGTAATGTTTTCAGAACAAAATATCAAACAGATAAATGGCAAAGCTTCAATCTGAAAAGCCCTTGAGTCAGACCGCTGCCTAAGTACATACAGGGTGGAGGGATGCTATGCATATAAATTGAAAACTTGTCATATTTTGTTACGAATATCGCCGATATAAAAGCTTAAGCATCCAGAATACCAAGAAAGAGTATTAGGAGAAACTTAAAGATGTGGCCCAAAAATTGTGAAATATGCATTACGAACTCGGACAATTGTTTGGGTATTGTGCTCATGAACGCAAGTGTTAGTGTTTCGAAGATCGAATCAATCCTGGCTGACGACACGAAGTTCAGAATGGAGAAGCATAATTAGTGGCAAACCGAGTCCAACTCACAACCCGTCTTTGGAAACTGAAAACTCAATTCTTTCTTAGTGAACAATTTTTGAAAGTGCTTAAACCTATGGGTACAACGACCCCACCCCACCGAACACGAAATGGTTTGTAAAAGATACTTTTAGAGGACTTTCTACTATGGTCGATACTTGGGAAGTGCAGTTCAACAGTTAATGTAATTGAAAGAGGGTTGGCAAGATAGATGAAACTGATTCGTCACAAAGATGCACCTTACAGCCTACAGGACAGATGTGACTTCATCAACTCAATTAGAAAGACAAAGCTCACTTGGTAAATGCTATTGTCTATACAACTGGAATATTTGCTCCTAAACATTTCCTTCACAGAAAATAAACATTTCTGCCAACCCTACACCGAACACAACGCAAGACAAGTGAAAACCCACACCGGGCTAATCGATGCTAAGCCACGTTAAATAGCCCTGACTGACGACTTCCAAATCCAAAACAGCGAACGACAGCTAAAAATCCCCGAACCCGTCTGAACAAGGTGCACTGACCATCTCAGTCAACCGCATCGACCGGGGCATCTGCGGGCTGCCATCGCATTAAATTGCCATCCCCTCCTTTTCCCACACAGAGCCGCAGCACTTGTCACCCTCCCTCCCTCTACGCCCGAAGTTCTGCCGTAACTGTGGCTCCACCCTCCCCTCTCCTTCAAACATTGGCTGCCTGCCTCTGCTTGTCTGTCTTGTCGCACCAAATGGCCTTAGCTGGCCAGTTCACTTTTCCCTTTCTTCATTTAGTCAGACGACGGGCCGGTTCTACGTGCATGAAAATTCTCAAGTATATAATCGTCGTCGAGTCGTCGATAGAGTCGTCTTCTTCTCAATATCTTCTTTTCATTCAGGTGGTCTTTTTTTCTTCAAGGATGTCTATGTTATAAAAATATAAGACAGGATTTCATAATCGGCATGGCAGTTGGTGACCTTAATGAACTCCTCTTTTTGTGCACGCTAAATGTGCAGTCTTGGTGGTCAAAGCAGTGGAATCACCAGCTGGACCTCTACTATCTGAAGCCGGTATGGGCAAACTGCAGATCGAGCAACTCTTCGCTCTTAGAACGGACATTTTAACTATGCTCGATACGTGGGAACGAAGCCTAGTCCACTGCTTCGTTCACCGCAATTAAAAACGAGGTACAATTTGTGTTTAAGCAAAAGAACCTCGTGAAATGTACAAAATTTGATAAGGTACCTGCATCACTTAAGCAGCATTCATTTTGTAGATCAACACGTACTGGTTTCGACATAAGTCCTAAATTGTCTCTTCTTTCAAATCGAATTGAGATTCCGCATTGTTACTTCAAGTGGTTTAGATAAACACACCCTCTTTGACGTAGTCAAGATGGTTGGCTTTAGACAACCTATCCAGTTTGCACCAACTACATTGACTGTACCCAATCACATGTTCGAAAGGTCAATTCTTGTTCGTTTCTTTTCAATGGAAGTCATTATGTGAACATTACTAAACGGATTGAGCCACTTCCGAGTTTCCGCTGCGTACGACGCACGTGGGCAGAAACATACGTTGGTTTTTTAATAACTGCAACTGGGGTCTACATCCGAAATTCGCAACTTAAGTCTGTGCCATGCGCCTTTTAGGTCGGTTGCGTATATCTCATTTTTGGACTGCACTACAATCTAAAAATAAGGTTTGGCTGCTGAAAGACATTCACCATGGTTCATGAGAAGACATGACTTGTCAGTTATTTAAAGAATGTTGTGAGTGATAGCCGGAACAGTAGCAAATTCATCCTCTTCAGTATATGTTATCCCCAGTGATCGATAACGAGCTTGAACCCAGTGATAGTGCACTATGTGTCAGAACGGGACCACCCATGTTCAGAGTCTTACATTAAAAGTCGTGCAATGATACAAGTTGCAAAGTATATAAACTTCCTGTGTTGCCCGAATGTAGAAGTGCAATGAACTCAGTGAGGCGTCAGATTGCATGAATGCGTGGTAGGCACATTTTTGGGCAAACTAAGCGAAACAGATTAAGTAAGTAAATTAAGGCAAATTTTTGCATCACAAGTATGTGTATAGATCCAGAAGAAGAAGAAGAAGAAGCAATGCCCATCAAAGAAATCATCGTTTTATTAGTCTGATATTTTGAACTCTTGTGGGAGTCCATCGTCAGAGATAAAAGCGTCGCCTTAAAACAAGCAATATTTATAGGGGCAGGGTCCCAACAACCGTCATAGAGGTGGAAGGAAGGGGCTTCTTAACCGCCAACGCAGTGAGTCTAGAAATACCTGGACGATGTGATGTATATGGACGCCAGGTCGATATATCGGTTGACTTAGTCGTCATCCGACGCACAGTCTTCTATTAGTTCTCGTCC